CAAAGCAAACAGTGCCTGCAGGCAGACAAGTTCATGGACAACAGGTTCATCCAGGTATAAATGGAATTAGGGTAGGGGTGTGCCTTCAATGACTGTGGGTAAATCTTATCACCTGCTGTCACTTCTGGGGACAAAGTACAGCTTTTTAATCAATCTAAATCTGCTGTAGTAGTAGTAGTAATAATAATAATGATGATGTAGTAGCAGTAGTAATAATAATAAAAATAATATCCAATAAAAAACCCAACCCAAGCCAGTACATTTCCCCCAGAACACAGACTAACAGAGCTCACTCTCTCAGGCAATGGTACATAAAGAGTGAGTAACAGTCCTGGTTTTAATTACTGCCCTGCAACAGTGCAAGGAACAGAGAACACTGTTTTACAGCAACTCCTCAGTGTGCTCCTCCTTGGAAACACAGAGCAGGGCCAGTCAGGGAGATTCCTGCAGATGGGATTCTTTTTCAAAGTCGGAATTCAACTTAAGGAAATTAAATCTCGAATGACTGCGAGGCAATCTGGGGTTCTCCCCAAGGTCTGGCCTCTCTCATGGTTGACTGATTTGTGGTAAAGCACAGGTAGCTGGAAAACTTTTAGTGGGTGTAAGTTTTTGAAGAAATTGGCTGATATTGTAAAGCCTGTCCTGGTACCAGAGCTTGGACAAATCCTGGGTGAACTTTAAAGCAGCCAGGTAATAGCTGTTATCACAGAGTAATTGCTAGTTTTACCAAATTGCCTTTTTTTACCTCAACTCCAGAGCTTGGTGACATTTTGCTACTTAGTGCTTTGGCCTCCTCTCCACAAATATTCTCTTAAAAACCTCCAGCAGAACTGGTGCCTCTGAGAAGGAAGGTTTAAACATCATGTTTATAGAAAAAGACCATGTTCAGACCCAAGAGCAGGAAAGGGTATTTAATGAAAAAGCCTAATTTTACACTTGAAAAATTATACACCAGCAACTCAAATGCCAAAGTGTTCGTCCCACCTCCTCCACAGGATTTAAGCACCACCTTTCTGAGTTCTCCTCCTGTGAGAGGAGGTCAAGGGGCACACTGAAATGTTTTGGGGTACTCTGAAAAAAAGAGGATACTTGTGTGGGAGAACCTTTGGCAGAGCGGCCACAGTTCCTGTGATGATGTCTGTATGAATCTGTTATTCAGGGTCACTGAATCCTAAGAACAAGTACAACCTGCTGCCTTGTGGGCACTGCCTGTGGCTCAGACTCCTGCTACACACCTGTGCCTTCAGTGAGGCTCCCTGCTGTACAGGAAGATTCAGTTCTGTGAGCCCAAAAGGAGGAAAAATTGTGATATGATCATATGTCGTTTGCCCACTCCCATGGCAAAAAGGATCAGATTATTAATACTCACCCCCTGTGGATATAAAATCCCTGAAGCAGCTGCAGCTCCCACAGGTCACGAGCAAAGCATGGCCTTAAGGGCAAATTATTCCCATTATCTCAGCGTGGATTGTGCCCATGTGATGAGCCCAGGCTCTGACAAGGAGACACAGGTGCTGTTAAAATGTGGTGGAAGAGCTTGAGAGGGCAAGCAGGGAGAACGTGGGCCCATTTCATCAGTCACAGCAGAGGGGAATCCTTCTAGGCCAAACAAAAGAGCACGGAACAAACATCTCAAAATCCATAGTTCCTTTAACACTTTAAATAGCATACATTTTAAATATCTCATTTGATCCTCAGTGCCAACCAGTAGCTGAGCTTTAATAGTAGAATCATAGAATGGATTGGGTTGGAAGGGACCTTAAAGATCATCTCATTCCAACCCCCTGGTATGGGCAGGGACACCTTCCACTAGCCCAGGTTGCTCCAAGCCCCATCCAACCTGGCCTTGGACATTTCCAGGGATGGGGCAGCCACAGCTTCTCTGGGCAACCTGTGCCAGGGCCTCCCCACCCTCACAGGAAAGAATTTCTTTGTAATTTCTGATACAAACCTCCCTTCTTTCAGTTTAAAGCCATTAATAAATATATATATTCAATAAAGAATGTATTCCAACAGAAGGGCAAGCCTGTGTATTCCAGAAAAAAAATTATTGTTGTTCTATCTCTCCAAAAGACTCTCAGGCCAAATCTCTGCTGAGTCTGAAGCGGAATGTGAAGTTTTTTCATAGCTCTGTCTATGTGTCACTGCCATCACAATTAGACTCCCCATCTGTAACAGCACTTGAACCATCACCACACGTTTTGCTTTCAGTCAGCTCAGGCTTTTGAGGTGCTTTCATTTCGAGTCAAACGGTTCCTTTCTGCAGAACTAACCGAGAGAGAGACGAGAAGATCAGTGCAAATGGCTCCTGCAATCCCCCACAACCCAGCACTCCTGGCCCTGCTCGGTTTGGATTGCAGGCTGTTGGAAATGCATCGTGCTCCGATCGATTTTCCCGATGTGCTATCGACCCAGCTGTGAAGCCACGAGGCAGAGACAGTTAAGAAAATATTTACAGGAGACTGGGTCCTGCAGCAAATCAGTAATGAACTTGTTTGTCTGACCCATTTATTCATGACCCATAAGCGAGCTTCTGGTTTTTTTTCTAGAAGCTTCTCCCCGCACACAGGGATGCTGCACGAGCTAACAAAGGCAAAACAGACCCTTAATTCCTGTATCAACTTCTTCATTTTCTGTAATGAACACAAGAGGGGAAACTTGCATTGTGATCATTCCTTCCAACCTCTTGATTAACTTTTACTTGGCCAAACATGGGTGAGCTTCTTCCAGCTGAGCATTAAAAGCTTAATAACTCCTGTGTAAACAGGCTGGGAGAGCTGGGGGTGTTCAGCCTGGAGAAGAGAAAGCTCCAGGGAGCCCTGAGAGCCCCTTCCAGGGCCTAGAGGGGCTCAAGGAGAGCTGGAGAGGGACTTTGGACAAGGGCCTGGAGTGACAGGACAAGGGGGAATGGCTTTCAGGGGGCAGGGTTAGATGGGATATTGGGAAGAAATTGTTCCCTGTGAGGGAGGTGAGGCCCTGGTACAGGTTGCCCAGAGAAGCTGTGGCTGCCCCATCCCTGGAAGTGTCCAAGGCCAGGTTGGATGGGGCTTGGAGCAATCTGGGCTAATGGAAGGTGTTGGGGTGGGACTGGATGAGCTTTAAGGTCTCTTCCAACCCAAACCATCCTGGGATTCCATGGTTTCCTCCTGGAGTCAGTGTCTTTTGTGCTGCTGAAACTCTCAGGAAGGCATTTGGGAAGAAGTAGCTGGGCCTTTATATTTCAAGGAAAAACAATCTCTTCCTCAGCTCATGGAGGAGAAAAGTTAAGCAAGACTTTTCTCTTTAAAATCTGTAGTTCCAACCACTGCTGAAAGAGAAGGATCCACCTCTGTGCAACGCTCTGAGCAGGACAGCCCACCTGGGATCAGGAATTCCTCCGTGCACTGCTGCCACACCTACTCCAAAAGCTGAACTGGTGTTTGTTTGGGTGACATGGGAATATCAGAAAAAGCAGACAGGCTCCTGCTTCTTCCCAGGGATGGCCACAGCTGTGCTGCTTGCACATATCAGCCTGCTGGTGTGAACTCCAGAGGTATATGGGACAAGAGGAGGATTTCTTCAAGGCAGAGATAAAGTGCTTGTGATACAGATTAAGTACAAACACAATGTATGACTGATTACTGTGTCCAAACGAGCTTTTGTGACATAGTTTTAATAAAAAAACAGGCAGCTCCTGCCAAGGAATCAACTTAGAGATGCTCAGCACAAGTGTGCACTAACCTTTAAGTACAGAAAAGGAAAAGCCTATCATTTTATATCTCTCTTTTGATGCTGTTTGCTGCAGTCACAATGGGCTCTAATGCTCTTTCCCATTTTCCAGCACAAAGTCCTAAGCTGAGGATATTCTAATGAAGTCAGACAAATGCTCAGCACAAGAACAGCCTGGCAGCTCTGCCATGAAACCCAAAGCTCAGCCCAAATCCCGAGGTCGAGGTCTTCAGGCAAAACTTGCAGAAAGTCTCTCTGTGTAAATGAGGACATCACACTTTGGCCTGTGACTGCTATCATGAGTGGAAGTATTTTTCCTGGAGAAAAACAGAGCAATCTGCATAATCCTGGCAAATGGGGAAGGCAGTTTTAGCACTTGCATCGAGCATTTTTTGCTGCAATTTCCTTAAGGACATTCCAGGCAATTTTAAATGCACATCATCTCCAAGGGTCAATCTAGCACTGAAGCCACTGTTGTCTTTGGCACTGTGGAGAAGAAAATTAAGGTTTGTTTTAACTTTTAATAAGAGGTGAAGATGTGCTTTCTCCAGGTTCAGAAAGCAGCATGTCCCTGTGGCCAATAACATGATTATCTCAAAGCTACTTTGCTTTCTTGCTCTTTGCCTTTCCTTAGTGCCTTCCACACATCTTTCCCAAAGGATTTGAAGGACCAGTCTCTCCAGCTGGCTGCCCTCTCCTGGATGGAATCAAAAAGTGTTTGATTATTTCCACTTAGATAAAATGCAGTGATCTGCTTTTAATTTTTTTTTTCCTCAGTCTCTGTATAATCACAAAGGTTCCACTGCGCCAGAATGAGAACTAGGAAATTCTCAGGGGCTGCTTCTTAATCCTCTACAGAGCTGCCAACTTTTTGGAGAGTGGAGTTTTTAGCCAAGTTGCCTTTTATAGATAGATATATATTAAGAAATTTTTCATTTTCTCATTTCACATTTCTTCCCTGTATTTACCAGTGCCTAAACCCCATTGTTGTGGGGTTAATCCACCTCCTCAAATATACAGACAAGCATTTCCATATCTGTTTGTTACTTAAGGTGAGCATGTTAAACATGGAATATTACAGCTGGAAGGGCTCTTATATAATCTTTTCCTCTGCCTCAAGTCAGGGTCAAATATTTCTTTGCTACTCTAGATCAGTGCTTGGCTGACCCCAGTTAGAGACAGCTGATAATAGGGACTGCTCAGTTTTTGCAGGGAACACAGTGCACTTCTTCCCCAGTTAACTATTGATGTCCCTACAGGTTTGTTTACAGACTCCCGAGACGAGCAAAGGGCTCTGGAGATGATTTTCCAAAGGACCCATTCATCGGGGGAGCTGGGAGTTTCACTCGGCGAGCCCTCATCTTTAAATTGAGGGCAAGGGATTAGGATGCAGAGTGGAAAGGCTGAGGACAAAACACCCCTTAGAGAGAGGGTTTCAGTTGTTGCCAGCGGCACCGGGAAGCCGGAGGGCTCTCCGGGCGCTCCGTGCGCGCACTCAGACAACCAGCCGCGCTTTGAAACTTTCACTGCACATCTGCGCATCCCTCGCCTGGGCTCGGCACCGAGCCAAAGGGGGCCGAATTCCTGCGAGCCCGTGCAGCTCCCACACGTCCCCAGCGCTAGGACCCAGAGGGAGCCGGATCGCTGTGAGTCAGTGCGGCGCTGGAGCCCCGCGAGCGCTGAATGAGGCTGCGAAGGCAGAGGGAATGTGAATGGCTCTTCTGGCGTGCGAGAGCGGCCGAGGACTGGGGTGCTACAGAGCGCAGAGCAGCCTGGAGACCCCTCGGGAGCCCCTGTCCCCCCGGCTCTGAGGTGAGTGACCCCCGCCGAGCCGGACCCGCTCGGGCAACTTCGGGATCTCCTCGACCGGCCCGGTGCGTTTTGTGCTGTTTGTTGTCGCCTTGCTATATTTCTTTTTTTTTTTCGCTCCCCGGAGGAGGCACAGATTGGGTGCCTGCGAAATGCCTCAATGCTTAAAAAGCAGCTTTTGCTTTTTTTTTTTTTGAGAAACCGAAAATTGCATCTGCTGAGGCAGGTTTGGCTGCACGCACATCTGGAAGGTGTTCCTCCAAGCAGCTGTGGATAAGCTTAAAGCCTGAAAAACATCTTTAGCACGAGCAGCTTAATCTTAGGGAAATGCAAGTGTTCTTATTCTTTTTATCCAGGTATATGGGAACTTAGTTTTATTTGCATTCTACAGCAGTTACACCTATATGGAAATTCTTTCCTGGCTTTGTTCTGAATATTAAACCTTTCTTATTTTCTTTTTTTCTTTTTTTTTTTCTTTTTTTCTGTGATAATTCTACTCTGGATAAAAACTCCTTTCTTCCTTTACTAACATAAATAAATAGGAATTCTGCTAAATCAAAGCGTGACTGGCCCAAGGCAGAATCCTTTTGGCTGCAGACAGAGCAGCACTTCACCAAAGCCCTGTGTATCCTCTAGGATGTCCACTTGGAAAAGCTCACGACCTCCCTGCTGCCTGCCCGTAGTGACAGGATGGGGCTGACAATGTTTATTGATTTATAGAGGGTGATAACACTTCTTTTAGCTGAGGCAGAGATGAAAACAGGGACCCCAGTCAGGGAGACAGAAGAAATTTGTGTGCTGAGAACAAAAAGTGCTTGTACTTCGGTTCTTTCTTCACTTTAAATTCTCCTTATAAGCTCAAGAAGTTTTAGAAAAACACCAAAAGTGAGCGTGCTTGTCAGGCTGGTTTTCCAAGTTGTCACAGCTTGGAAGTTGCATTGTAACTGTTAGGCAGATAATTTATGGATGTTTTCATGCATTGAAGTATCACAATAAAAAGTTTTGGGGGCACTTTTTTTTTCGCTAAGCCAAACTGAAAGGTGACAATTATCTGCAATAAGGTAGAGAGGGAGCTGATTTGTCTGTACCTTCCTGCTCTTGGCACTTTGGAGCTGGTTCAGATATTGTGGAAAACAGGCTTTTAAAATCCCCCTGACAACTGCCATTTCAGGCAATTGTCTGAATCTATGAGGGCTACAATATTTTCTGCACTTTCCCAAGGAGATTGCAGTGATGGAATGAAGAATTAAATATACTGGAGCGTTCTCAAGTATGATAAGAAAGACTTGGCCTTTAAATATATCAATAATCATCCATATGAATCATTTTTAAACAAATCTCAGCCAGATCTGGAGAGGAGCCCCCCAACACATCTGGGCAGTGGAGTAACAGTGATTCCACATCTTGATCAATCCCAGTCACTCACCCTGAAGGGATCTGTCACTCACAACAAGGTGGGAAAGAAAGTAACTGTGGCTTTCTTTTTCTCATCCTCATAGAAGTGACTCTTTTCTCCATCAAAACCTGAAAGTATCTTTTAGATTTCTTCATTTAAGTTCACTGGAGAATTATAACAAGCACGAGCATCATTTCATCTCATATGCTAAACAAACAACTACTCCATAGAATAACTGGACAATCTATGAAATCACTGTAAGATATTAATTTAAAAAAATCAGGTTAGAAAAATACCTAAATTATGTGTTCCCATTAGGGTTTTCAAGTACAAACTGCGTTCCTTTAATGCCTGGATGCCTGGAACAAGGGTCAAATAGAACACATTAAAAACTAGATTATTTGAATCAATTGAATAAATCCCATAAATTCCCCTACTGCTCCACAGCTTTGGCCATATAAAATTTAAATACAAATACTATTAATTTTTTGTTGTTGTTGTTTTTTGTTTCTATACAGCATGCTTGTAGGACTAACTGAATATTGAATACATATTAATTAGCATTAATTAAATTAAATTAAAGGCAAGTGGAAAAAACACTGGTGATTTAAAGAAGTAAACAGAAATCCATGGGTTTTTTTTTTTCAGTCTATGTTTTAAGAACAAACTCCTCTGATTAAAATAAAGGGTTAATAAAATTCATGGTTTCATTCCAAAAGATTCAGTGCTCTTAACAGCAAAAGCCAGCGCTGGATTGGAGGGGTTAGAAATATTTGTCGATCCCAAATGTGAGGCCACTCAAAGCCAGTGGAACTCAACCCCTTCCAGACCAGCCACAGCAACGGTGACCTCTGCCGGCAGCTGCCCACCCAAAACCAGGGATTTAGGGCCTTATTCAGCAAGTGACCACGAAACAAAGCATTTATGAGGTCAGATCACACACTCAGAGAAATGTGGGGTAACATCTCTCGCCACCAAACTTGTCTCATGGGAAGGAAACTTGCCCCAAGGGAACGGAGATGGGGAAGGGGTTGGAGCACCAGGAGCTGCTGAGGGAGCTGGGGGGGCTCAGCCTGGAGAAAAGGAGGCTCAGGGGGGACCTCCTGGCTCTCTGCAACTCCCTGACAGGAGGTTGTGGCCAAGAGAGGGTCGGACTCTGCTCCCAGGGAACGAGGGACAAGATGAGAGGAAACGGCCTCAAGCTGTGCCACGGGAGGTTTAGGTTGGATATTATGGAAAATTTCTTCCCTGACAGGGTGGTCAGGCGCTGTCACAGGCTGCCCAGGGCAGTGGTGGAGTCATCATCCACGGAAGTGTTCAAAAAATGCTTAGATGTGGCACTTGGGGACATGGTTTAGTGGTGAATGTGGCAGTGCTGGTTAATGACTGAACTCGATGATCTTAGAAGCCTTTTCCTACCAAAATGATTCCGTGATTCTATGTAAACAAAAGGCACATGTGCCAGTGCTGCTGTAACTGTGCTCCTTCCCCAGCCAGAAGGAAGTTCCCCCTGGGTTGGGTCTGACCTGAGCCCGGTCACAGAGGCCAATGCATTTAAGAACATTTCTCCAACCAAAGCGCCTCTCCCACTCGGGGACAGATGTCCTGTGGGATGTGTGTGGCTTGTTCTCCTGACACAATGCCCTTTGTGCACTCTGTGGAATTCATAAAATATTTGTGTGTGTGTGTGTGTGTGCATTTATACCAAAAATTCTGTGGTCAAGTAAAGCAAGATCATTTTTGCTGTTGCCAAGAGAGAGTAGTATCAATTACTGTGGGTTGTGTGCACTCTTGTCTGCCCAGTTCCACTGATCCTAAAGCCATGGAATTTGGGGGAAAGAAAATCTCAGACCCTCAATATTAACTCATATTGTCCCCAAATCCTGGACATTGCTTGTAGTTCTGACCATCAGTTACATGGATAAAAGGATAAAGCAAAGCAAGAAAAGGATGATGAAAGGATGATGAAAGCCTGGAACATTTTCTGTATTTAGAGAAATTGTGATTTCTAAGTCTGGAAAAGAGATGGCTGAGGAGGGGTGTAAGGGAGATATTTATAGTCATAGTTGTCCTTAAGATGTTTAAAGGAAATGGCTGTTGTCTTGTCTCTCAGTTCCAAAATCAAGGAGTGGGAAATAGAACTGGCAGGTGGCAAGTTCAGGGCGAACAAAAGAAGGTGGTTCCTCTCTCCGGGTGTAATGGAGCCCTGGAATTCCTTTCCATGGGATTTTGTAGGTCACAGGGTTCAGGAAGCAATCAGACATTCTGAAAGCAAAGATGCTGCCTGTGGTTCCATAAATCCAAAATGATTGCTGAGTGGGAGAGCACTCCAAGGAGATGATCCCCATGTGGTTGCCCTATTCATGCACCACTCCCCACAATCAGCAGCTGCTGCAGGAGGCAGAATTACTGACCTGGATGCACTTCTGTTCTAGAAACTTCTCCTCAGTGCTTTACTCAGAGCAAATACTTGACCTACCCTGGAAAAAAAGTGGTGACTGTGTAATATTAACTGTGGGTGGCCAGTTCTCTGATAAAAAGAAGGGCAATTCTGGCAAAATTAAAAGGTAAAATAGCATCCTTCATTTTGATTTTTGCCCAAGAAATTAGGTGTGGGCGTGTTCGTGGAAGTTACCACTATAGAATTAATGCTGAGATTTACAGCTCCTCAGGCAATCAGTGTCTAAATAGATTATGGCTGGGGAAGGCCTGGGAAAATACAAATCTGGTGGATCTTGTGGGATTCAGTGAAATACTGTGCAAACGTGGAAATACAAATTTATCTCATATCTTTGTGGTCTTCAGGTGGAGCAGACACCTTCTTTGAAACTCATTATTGGACTAAAATGTTTTCTAACAGCTCTCATTAACAATATGATACATAAATCTTAAGTAAAACGTAGCAGGGAAACACATCATTAATTACACTGACAATGCATGCAGAAAACAGGCCCTACAAACACACACACATGAATGAGATTTCTGTGGCCCATTATCTAGATCCAAAATTCAAATGACTGCATGAGGTAGTTTGAAATAACATTTGATGGTTTTATTGCCAGGCTTCTGTAGCATCCTTTGAATTCCCCCTGGCCGTTGTTCAGTGAATGAAACACCTCTGAATTTTCCTTATCTTGGAGGAAGTGTTTTTTTCCCCCTTTCTTCTTTTTTTCCCTGGGGTCTTGCATTTACAGCAGTGCTTTGAAGATTTCATGGCACAGGAACTGACACTGTCAGATGGCCCAAATCGAGATGTATCAGACTCACATTTTCTGTTGCTGAGATCACTTTTATCACACAGAATCCCAGGGTGGTTTGGGTGGGAAAAGACCTTAAAACTCATCCAATCCCACCCCCTGCCATGGGCAGGGACACCTTCCACTAGCCCAGGTTGCTCCAAGCCCCATCCAACCTGGCCTTGGACACTTCCAGGGATGGGGCAGCCACAGCTTCTCTGGGCAACCTGTGCCAGGGCCTGCACCACCCTCACAGGGAAGGATTTCTTCCCTGATATCCCATCTAACCCTGCCCTGTGGCAGTTTGAAGCCATTCCCCCTTGTCCCACCTCATGGAATGGTTTCCACATCTCACAGTGGTATTTCCTGAG